AAGGATGCATGGGTTGCGAGAAGCCAAGTAGTCTGAGAGAAGACAGGTTCCCAGAATCAGTGAGATTTTTTCGCGTAGAGTCTGCGTAACGTTACATAGATGTAAGGTGAGGCTGCCTAGTTCGGCAGATGTCACGTCACACTTAGTTTAGAGTCCCGCGGCAGAACTGGTTATGTGTCCTAGATTGCGAAGAGCTGTCTACTCTGGTACATCGAGGCCCTTTATATATGTGTAACGAGGGTAGATTAAGTAATGGTATGTCAGAAAAGGAAGGAGGGTAGCGGTGTGACCAACCAAACGGAGAATGGTCACCAAAGTCCTATGTACAATAGGTTGCCTGGGAAGACAACGTAAGGTTACACTTGGATAGTCTAAGACGACGATTCTTACGCGACCATGTTCTGGGTGGCACCTAGTCATAAACAGACGTGCTCATCACCGTGTAGGGGAATCATAGTCAATGATCGTTCGGCCCTTGATTCCTGCATCAGACTTTAATTCTTCAATCACATACAGCTTTCTGAAGAGTACCGAAGGGGTGTACATGATTTCGACTTTATCTTTTATCAAAATCCCTTTACACAGCGATTCTACGGACGCTCACTTACTTGATGGAATGTCCAGAGTCAGCTCAAAAACGCCACACTGTACACTGGACCGATGAGAGGGAGTCCCGCCCCCGAAAAGAACCAGATCAAACAGACCTCTGCTACACACTACAAATCTTAGTCTGGCGCCTGAGACCGCTCGGCCACCTCACCATCCTGAGCCACTCCACACGGGGTTCCCGGCACTTGTTATGTAGGTAGCACGAGGCAAAAACTCTTTTCTCGCAAGAGAAGTGATGAGAGGGAGATTCGAACTCCCGCCCCCGAAGAGACCAGATTGGAGACTTGTCACTATGAAACCTTAGTCTGGCGCCTTGGACCGCTCGGCCATCTCACCATGTCCATCCATCACTCCGTCGCACGTGCTCATGTCCCGGGGAGGAAACCGAGCCCGAAACGATGAATTGGAACGAGGACCGTGGATTGCAAGGTATCGATAGATGCACGGCGCCATCCAGCCAGCAGGTCCTTGATCTTGAGTCTCTATGTTTTCTTTTCATCTCCGAACATACCGTAAAAGGGTACACCGCTGTGGCAACACCCCGTACGACGTCATGCCTGCCGAGACACCTGAGACCTAGTATATAAGCCCCACACTCGTGGGGCTCGAGGGGTCCTGACATTGAATTTCCCCTGCCCTTGCTACGTTGACCACAACCACCTCACCAACCTAACCAACCCAGTTAATCCAAGCAGCGATGGCCGCGCACGCCCCGGTCCGCATGCCCTCCAGCGAATGGGGCGGCAAAGATAGACCTGCGTATTATCGCAGCGCGAGCAGCCAGCTCCGGCACCAGGCGCACGCCGTGTCCGCCAGCAATAGCAATAGCAATAATACTAACACCAACAGCAACAGCAACAACCCATTCGCGAGCAAAGACGACCCCGCGCCTGCTCCTGCGCCCGCCACGGCGTCCTCGGGCAGCAACAACCCGTTCGCGGGCGCAGTGGCTCGTCAGAAAGAACGAGAATCGAACTCTAGGGACGCACACCCCGACTCGCCTGCGTCGGGCCCTGTGTCAAAAACGCAATCGCAAGCGGAGACGGAGGACAAGGCACCGACGACGGGCGTCAAGAACACTGTCGGGACCGCGATCGAGAGCGTCTCGGAGACGGTGAAGCCGTACCTCCCCGGGGCGATCGCGGCGTACCTCCGTAAGTCGTGCCCTTCCCCTTCACACCCGTGCACAAAGTCTGATCCTTTTTGCTTTCCCTTGTTGGGGTCAAAGCGACGAGCGCGGCGGCGCAGTGCGAGTTGCCGTCGAAGGAGGTCCCGAGCGGGTCCGCGGTCGGCGTGGGGTCGTTGCCGGGTACGACGTCGGAGGTGAGCGTTGCCAAGCTCCCTGATGAGCGCGCGATGGAGCAGCGCCAGGCACATGCGCATGCGAAGGGGCATAAGGCGCATCATCATAAACACGGCAAGCACGATGCGCATGGAGGTGTGTCGTTCACCCATTGTCTGCGCGTACCGAGTGCTCACTACACCTTGCGCAGAACAAGCCGCCCAGGCGTCGGCGTCGGCTAGCATGTACCAGACCGCGAAAAACTACATCCGCCGCTCCGTCGGCGCCTACCTGCGTGAGTCTCCCCTCTTTCCACTCTCGCTCATCCTCACACACCCGCGCACGCAGCGGGGAGCACGAACACAAGCTCGCTCCCCTCCAAAGAGACGCCCAGCGGGTCCGCGATCGGCGTCGGCTCGCTCCCAGGAACAGCGTCCGAAGTGAGCGTCGCGAAGCTGCCCGAGGAGCGGCGGCTCGAGGGGCTGCCCTCGCACGAGACGGACCACGAGGTGCTCGGGAAGAGCGGGGGCGTCGGCGCGCTGCCTGGGGGCCCGAATGAGAGTCGTGTGGCACTGTTGCCGGAGGAGAGGCTGCATCCGCAGTGTGAGTTTTTTTGGCTTTGGGTTTGGGGATGAGGGTTGATGGTTTTTGGGTAGATGATGCGAGCTCTGCGGGAGCGGGAGAGACGGGCGTGGGCGGTGGAGGGGTTGGGAGGGTTAGGGAGGGCGCGGGGGCGGGGGCGGGGTCGCCTCTCAAGAAGGTGAGTGGACGTTTAAGAACACAGTGCGCATACACTAATATGGGTGTTTGTAGTCAATCGAGGTACAATTCAGCCATTTATTCGCCGTGTCCAAGCTGATTCCTTGTAGCCAGAACGCGAAGCACACACTCGCGTCCCCGGCGCGTTCGAGCAAGAAGGCCACGGCGCGCCTGGCGCTGCCGCTGCCGGGTATGGAGGGACCGCGGCGCACCCGGACGTGCGGATGGATCCGGGGTACCACCCCGCTGCGCTGCACCCGGTTGACCCCAAGTTTCAGCAAAGGGAGCACGGGGAGAAGAGCGCGTCGTATGCGAGCGCTGCGGCGGGGGGAGAGGCAAGTCGGCGGTCACCGGAGAGCGAGCGTTCGAGCAACAGCAGTGGGGAGCGTAAGAAGACTGGGTTTATGAAAAAGGTCAAGGGCGAGGTGAAGGTTATTTCGGGGAAGCTGAGCCACAATGAGAGGAAGATTGAGGAGGGGAAGCTGTTGAAGGGCAAGTAGGGGCGTTTGTACGTGTACGTGTAATATTCTTTCATTTGTCAAAGTGTATAGTATCAGGTTATGTACAAGTTGAATCACTCACGGCGTGCATCGGAGAAGTTGATCATTGCAACGGTGACTCCGCCTCCCCTGCCATGGCAACCGGATTGAGCCGGAAAAAGCAGAGATGTGGGGCGTTTCCCACACTAACTTGGTCTGCACGCAGTCGTTCGTTTACCTCTCCACTCGTTTCAATGGGCTTTGCGCCGTTCCACGCCCACAAGGCCCACGCCAGAATCCGCCCGCGCGCAGCTTCCGCAGGCTGCAACA